ATTCACCTTGTAAAAAAATTATGATTCATAATAAGGCATAATTTCAGAAACCTCCCTTGAGGTTTCTTACGGTCTCACTCCCCTCTCGTGAGGTTTCCAAAATATCAGAGACCTCTCCTAAAAGTAAGTAACTAGTATTAAATCCAACCCAATTCAAAAAGACAAACAATAAAAAATTGAGAGTTCGAGAGAGAAAATAACATGATATGACATATGCCCCCAAGCCTTGCATTAGTGAGATAATTTCATATGAACAGTACCTAGGCAATTTAACAAGAATGAAATTTTAGGGGAAGGTTTTTGATACACAAAATCAGTTAAGTATAATCTATCATACACAAACAACAACTATATCAACATAAGCTACCAAAGAATACAAATTTTTCAGTACAAAATTCTCAGAGACTAACCTGAAAATGTGTTAAAGATCACTTGAATCCTTTATAATAAAGGTGAAAATCTTCACATATGGCTTAAAAAACCTCTGCTTCTCTTGCTCTAATTAAAGTGACTTCTTGCTCTTGTAGCTTTCTATGCAATACATCAACCAAAGTAGGGTGCCTAAATTTGGTGCCCTTTTTCTCATGACATTTTAGATATTATTTGCACTTCTAAACTATCGTTAATTCAGTCAATCATATTTATAACTAATTTAGGTAAAATTGTCCAAATAATTGTGAAATACCTGATAAGTTGTATGGGTATTTAAGTCATTTTGCCTATGATGATGTAAGAAATGGAACCAAATATTCTACCAGGGAGGTCCCTGATTATTTTGAAAACCTCAAGGGAGAGAAGTGAGATTGTTAGAGACCTCAGGGGAGGTTTCTGAAATTATCCCTCATAATAAGCACCCTGCACTTATATGTAAAAATAATTTACATCGTAGTGACATAAAATTATAGCTGATGCAAAAGAAAGCTCTTTTTTTTTTTTTTTTAAACTGCAATAGCAAGATAACATTATCTACTAATTCAATATTTCACCTTTCTCTTGAACATCTTGATATCTGGTTCTCAGTTTCAAGTGGTACAAAGCAGTCGGTAAGGAATATTCAATTAAAACATGAAAAAATCTATAAGCTCCAAAAAAGGAATTATATATATATGATACAAGTCAAATAATTACTTTCCCAAATAGTCTACTTCTTCAATATTCTTTTTAACGAATAGATCTACCTCTATAGTCTATACTATTAGTCACCTACTTTTGTCTTTTTAGCTCAGGAACCATTCACCGTTTCAGACTTTAACAAAAGATTAGTATCTTAAACAATTGGTTTTCCGACTTGACAATTATAATACTGCTAGAGCACAACTCTGATCAATTTGCAAGATATATGTCATGCTTGACAACCTTTTCTTTATACATCATAATCAATCAGATTCATCCCCTTGTTCACAAACCAGTCATTGTACTTCACCGTCAAGAAGATTACGACTTTCCCTGTGGATTTCTATATGATGTTGCAGATGAAATCTCAAGCCTATTACGGCCCTATTTTCTTTTTTTTTTTTTTTCACATTATCCCTTTTGAAAATGCCAACAAAAGCATCTTCGATATTTACTATGCCTAACTTATTAATGGGTGAAATTTCCATGCATTTTAACTTTGGCATATAGTGACTTGTACATTTCGAACATATCAAGAGAGTCTAACCAAAAAGATTGAGTCTATATAGTGACATTTGTCCGTCTTCAAAGTGGTAAAAATTTGTGAGGGAAAGTTTTGGGCAACAGACCTCCAAAACTTGTACCTAAATATTGCAAGAAAGTGATATTTTCTAGTTTTTTTTTTATCTGTACTTAGCTCGTTATAGAAAAGATTCGGCAATGGAAAATTCTTTAGGAGCATAGGACAATAGCAAAAGGTTATTTTATCTCCGTAGCAGCGTATGGTTCAGTTTATATCACTTCTATTGCTAGCAACGATTTCATTAACTATAAGGAAACTTAAAAACAGACATAGACACGTACGTACGTTTGTACATAAGTTACTCATTAACATATATTTTAAGTGTTATATTTTTGAAAATGTACGGTCAATTAGAAAAAGTAAATAAATATAAGGGAGGATAGGTAAAATTAAATAAAAAAATATATAAATGCAAAGAAGGGTAATAATTATTAGTATGTGTATATATATGATAAGTTAAATGAACATTAAATGTGTTAACGAGTACTCAATGGATATCCGTTAGAAAAATCCATACATACATGCATGCATTATATATATATATATATATATAATGCATGCATGTATGTATGGGCACTCGTTCGAAGCGTCTCATATCATACATAGTAAATTGCATATGAATTAAAAAAAATCTAAAAGTAGAGACTAATAAATGTGTCTATGTATGTTTACATGACAAGTCAAGGATAATTTTATTTTGATATATTAACGAGTGTCTTTATTATAAATAAAAAAACGAGTGTCTTTTGGATATTTATTATGGAAAACTTATGTACCTATGTATGCATAGCAAATTGGAGTTTAAGAAAAGACATAACATAAACTTGTAAATTACAGAGAAAGACGATGTTTAGTGATCACCTAAGTTGAGACTCCTCTCACTGTATCTTCGGGGACATGCTCATACACCAAATCTTCGGATCTGCCTCAGGGAAAAAAAAAATAGAAAGGAAGAAACAAAAAATTATATATATGTTTACTAATTGCTTATTTGATAATCTGCTATCCTTTCCGGCTCGGGATCATGGATTTCTTCTAGTACATAAAAAAAATTGTAAAAATGCGATGACAACTGTTTAGATAAAAATTTGATTACTCAGGGAAGTTGAAATTGGTTACTTGGACTAATTATATCTCTAAATTTTTTTTGATAATCCAGTAATTGTGTCTTGCTAGCATAAAGAAGGATTTAAATAGCATTTTTTCTTTTTTAAAAGTGTAAGTAAGTAGTACTTTTTTTTAAAAAAAATGTAAGTGGAAAGGTTCAAATTCGAAACCTATCATTCACAATTCTTTTTCACAAACTATCCAATCCATCCCTCCTCCAAAGGATTTAAATAGTAACAATGTGAAACCTCCACTGACAAATTGCGACTATTTGGACCTTTTTAAAAAAAAAAAGAAAAAAAGAACTTATGAAAACTATCACATTCTTCCAGTCCTCCCAAAACCTTTTATAGGTAAAAACTGGGAAGAAATATTTGTTGTTCTTAAAAAAAAAAAGAAAGAAATGTGGTAGGAAAATTAGCCGCCCCCCGCGGCGGCGGCGCCCCCGGTAATGGCGGCAGATAACCATGATTACAAGAAACTCAATGTGGGTCATGTTCAAGTCACGTAAGGCAACTCTCTTCATATAGAATTAGAAAAAGATAAAAGAATGAGGTGGAAAAATTAGATTAGAAATCCTAAACTTTTACTAAAGATCAGTTCAGTCCCTGAGTTTTATTTATTTATTTTTAAATCCATTTCTAGTGCAAGATGGATCCAGGTTAGCACACATATTGCTTTATTAAATCAATTAGTCTATTGCAAAAATCACCCATGAGTTTCATGCAAATACTAAACTTATCATATAAGCTTTTACGAATAATGCATAATATCTATAATCTGCAATAAAACATATTATTACTCGGCCTTCAAGTAGCGATACAATATTTGCCAGAGGATTAAAAAGAACTACAAAATTCAATAATGACGTACGTGTAAATCTAGCTAGAAATCGTGTCAAAATTCTATCACGCCAAAGTAATTGGAATACATAATTATTTTTATTGGGACATATAAACATTTTTATTGCTTACATTTGATACTTATGAATTAAAACACAATTTTCGGTTGAAACCTGAACACCAACTTTCTTAAAAAATAAAAATAAAAAATTGGAAGAAACTTTTTTGGTAAACTAAAAGAGACCAAATCAATTTGTTTGACAAATTTTGAGGTCTTAGTAAGACTTTTGGATAATTTTAGAATCCTTTTACAAATCGAGAGTCACTTGAATGAAATTTTCTTGTGCAACCTGACGACTATCAAGTGAAAACATCTAATAGTGTTTTAGTATTTTCAACACAACATATTCATTTATTTTTTTAACTCTTCCACCCCATTTGACAGTGGTGAAGATCCCAAGAGCATTTTCCTGACCACTGGACCAATTGCAGTGATTCAACACAACTGATTCAAGTTTCAAGCTTTCCACCCCAAAAAAAAAAAAAAAAAAATTCAAGTTAGGTAACATGCGCACCGACAGTTGGGCCAGCAAGCCCGCTAAGACGTTACTGGGCCCTTCACTTATGATTAAGGAAAAGTTTAGAGGGGCCTCATACATAGAAGGATAGGGGCCCAATTGACGACAACCTCTGTTGTGCGTTTTCACGTTTCTTCTCCAGGCAGTGATAGCCAATTTTCACGATGTTCCAGTCCTTGTCCGCCAATGCCTTATTTGGCTATTTCATTTATTAGACGGAGTGTGTTTGGATTGAAGATTATATGAGAACTTTCTTTTAACCGTAGTAGTTTATTTGACGTAATGTAATGTATACGAGACAAAATAGCAATTAGAAAAAAATGAAAGCGTGATTTAAAAAAAAAAATGTTTACAGAATTTTGAAAAAGCCTTTTGTTTCCCCGAATAATGATTATCCAAACTATTATATTTTCGTATTGTTGGGTAGTAGCTGACGACCATGAGATACACTTGACGACGTATAAAATCAGAATCCAAAGCAGCTTATACAGACGAAAAGGTGTCCAAGTCCATACCACGCTTTTTATTTTTTTGGGTTGAAGGGCTTAAATCAAAATGTGGTTATTATTATTATTATTATTAAGGCAGATATTGAAAGCACCACCGACGTGCTCAAGTTTTAGCTTTTTTTTTTTTTAAAAAAAAATTTTTCAATTTATTCTTGGAGCTCTTATTAATTATTTGTCTTTCATCAAACTTGTTCTTTACAAGGGTCAAGTGATGAATGATCATATAGTTAATCTTAGAAGAAATACAAAAGAAGAAGAAGAACAAAAATTAAAAGCAAGACAAGATAACTTAGAGGCTCGAGCATCGCGCGCACCGCGCTTTAACGGCTGCATTACATGGCCATATCATTGCTACTTCTGAATGGCTGTCATCACAGCTTCAGTTACATCTTTCACATCCAAAACTTGATCTTCATCTTCAACAACTGCTTCCATGAAAAAGAAGTGTTTGCACGCAGCCTTGGCTTGAAAAATATTGAGATTTAGGTTTTCAAACGCTTCGATAATTGAAACCAGCAAGTCTTTTCCCTTCTTGCATGTCACTCTCACCAAAAACTGTGTCCCAAACTTCTCTACTTTCACTTCCTGTTCCAAAAACCAAAAAAAAAAAAAAAAAAAAACTCATTGATTTTAAAATAAGGGACACATCAAAATTAAAAAAGAGCCATGCAAACTAATTAAATCAAATGTATGCCTATATGTGTGTTTTTTTTCTTTTTTTTTTCCCCGGGGGGCACCAGGGGTTGGTGGGGGATTCTATACTTGGATATGATTGATGAGGTTTTGGTATTCTCTTCTGATAGCTTCTAGTTGGAGTTTGAGCTTGTAGATGTAGAGAAAAGCATCCATGATGATTGAGCTCTTTTTCACCTACACAAACAACAAGAAATTTACTCCAAAACTGCTCAAAAAGAAATGTTCAACCTACTGGAGAAATGCTGAAAGGGTAAAAACAAAATGAAAAGTATAATTTGATATTACTGATTTAGAGTTGGTAAGTTTTCGCAGAATATGAAGCTTTCTCCTCAAGGCTATTCTCCTTTGTTCCCTGGAAACCCTTGATGGTACCATCTCTCTCTCTCTCTCTCTCTGCTGAATATGGATGGATCAAGTTAATATTTGCTTGGTATTTATAGATGAAAGGGGAGGAATGATGATGTGTATGGGGATCAGGGAATGTCTAAGCAGAGATTGACATAGTATTGTCTTATATATCATATTCTGTGATTATGAGGATCAACAAAATGATCATCCTAAAAGTAACCATCATCATCCTAAGTATAGCTAAACTATCTTGTCACAGAAGATTTGTCCTAAATTAATACTATTGTGATGACGAAAAACAGCCACTCACCAACCCAAGGGAAATAAAGTAAGCAAGAAAGAGATGCTGACAAATTAATCAACCTAGCAAACGAATTTTAGAAATCCAGCTCTATGCCTAAATATAACAAGTTAGTATTTGCTTTTGAAACTTTTCGGGCAACGGTGTCGCAACTCATAAATTGGAGGTGAACAACATGTTTTCCAGTCTAGCTTCCAAACTCACAAAAAAAAAAGGCAAACAAAATTGAGATGGATATTTCTAAAAAAAAAAAAATTGAGAAGGTTAAAGTATCTTGATTTTTTCTTAACTTCTATATTAGTCAAACTGGTCTATCACGTCCGGTTTTAATTTAACAACAGTACTCTATCTTTAAGATAGTGATTGAAAAGTATAATGCCTGAGAGCATGTGAAATTTAACAAGTCCTAAACAAACTTGCTCTTTTTCAAATTCTACCAACCATAATTTCAAGACTTGCATTTAGTTATCTTTTGAAACAAGAAATCTTTCCACAGCATATAAAAACTTGGGAGATGAGATAGAATCCAGTCCTTCTAGCTAAATTTGATAGTGAATTATTTATCAAAATTTATTTATTTGCGTTATCAACATATTTTTTAACTATCATTTTATCTTATATATATCATTTCAAAAAAGTGATACAATATTTTTTTCAAAAAAAATTCCAAATAATCTACCATCCAAACAGACTCTTTGATTCTATGCTTTCGGATGAGAAAATGTCAAATTATTTCTTCTACCAGAATGAAAAATAAAAGAAAAATAGAAGTCCTTATTGGTGAATGGTGAAGTAAGCTAAGTAGAGTCCAACCTCAACAGTGGCCATAGCTATTATAGGATCAGCAGAAAAGGACCACTAAGGGTGACATATATGCAGTCATTGAGACACCAATCTGAATTTCTGATGCAGGGTTAGCAAGTGCAGGGACTTTCCTAGGGGCCTAAGCAATGCAAGTTTGGAGTTTTTTGTGCATGGGATGCCAAATCGGAGTGGCAAATAGAATAGAGTTGCCAGCGGTGGATGTCTGGGCTGGCCTAGCCTGACTTATAATACTGATTGAGTCAGATAGACAGCATTGATCAGCAAGAAAGGCCGTCAATTCCCAGCTATCACGAGAATCTGGTTCAGAGTTACACTTTGTCTCGCAAACTTTGTAGATTTACCAATGGGATTGGGTCACATGCTCTGACAACGTTCGCTACGGTTGTTTTATTCTGTGTTCTCCCTACTCTTATAGTCTTAGGCTCTGTTTTCAAACTCGGACCGGACCGGCCGGTCGAACCGGTTGAACCGGGAACCGGCCAGGTAGCCGGTCCGAGTCACATTAGAAAACCGGAAATTTAAAACCCGGTCAAAGCCGGTCAAAAACCGGTTTTTCCGGTTCAACAGTATTTTTTTAAAAAAAAAATTCAAACTTTTTAATATTATGTTTTGACCCCCTAAATTGTTAAAACTTATTGATATACCTCAAATATTTGATACTTTATAAATATTGTCCTAAAATTTGATGTTATTTTTCAATTAAATTCATAATTTTAATTCTAAACTTGTTAATATTTATTAAATAATATAAATTGCTACTTGATTGTTCTAATTTCTTTGTATTTTCTTGTTAAATATAGTTGAAACATCAAATATATATGAATATGCCTTTATTAATATCAATATATTATTAGATATTATATATATAACATTTTAATTTTAAAATAATTTTTATTTATGACGTCATCCGGTTCGACCCCTATCGACCCCCGGTCGAACCCATTGACCCCTGACCCCTGACCTCGGCCGAGTCGCTATCCGGTCCGGTTCTGAAAACATAGGTCTTAGGTGCTGAACAGCAAGTCCCATCAAAGCTACACTTTCCAGAATGGTTTGCCCTTGGATTAAAGGGGTAGCTTAAATTATGCTTAGGAGATTATTTGAAATAATTTTTTTTAAAAAAATATAATAATACTTTTTATGATTAGATGTATATGAAATAAAAATAATGATTGAAAAGATAAAAAAATATCGTTAAAAATGTATTTATAATATAGTTAAATAAAATTTTGCAAATAACAACATGTGCAAACACGCTTGACTTACTCTTTCTTAATTTCTTTTTTCACATTTCTAATTTATGATGCCAAATCAATTAGGTTTAGTAATTGAGACCCCAATATATATTGTCATGCATCCAAATATGCTACTTTATATACATTTCTAGTGTATGATATATTAATCTTTTTTGGGGAACAACTTACAATATAAAAAGTTAATTTATTTTTCTAAAGTCACCAACGGCAATGAACAAACTGTTTGTAACATTTCAACATAAGCAGTTGCCAATTAGTATTCATTCGCTAACCATTTTATGTACATGAGAAAAGTTTATCGCTTGACATTTTAGATACATTAGATGATCATCCAACAGTGCAAATTTAAGCATTAACAAAGGTTAGATCCTGAAAGAGGAGTTAAGCTTTTGTAAGTGATGTAGGCAATACGACTTTCAATTCAAGGGGAGCATTTGAAAATTTCTTCTTCATCTTCTTCATGTTTTTTTTTTTCCATGTTTTTTCCTTTTCTTTTTTTTTTTGGCAGGACAGTTTAAAATGTCTATGGAATGCTACAAGAATTCAAAAGCTAACTAGAGAATTTTCAAGATTCGAGGCCAAACTTGATGGCTATTGCACGCCGGGAATTCTGTCATAAGAATGGACAAAAGCAATAGTACGATCAAATATAAACCAAGTGAATATAAATGTAACAATTAAGTAAAGTTAGATAATTCCCCGAAAAGATGGCTCAAATAGAAAGATTGATTCTCCAGAAATTTTCTTCTGCAAACCCTTGCTGGCATACAACTTCCAAAAGTACAACCAGAAAAAAAAGGAAAAAAAGAAAAAACTTCTATAAGTACAATTCTAGTTAAATACTTAAGGTTCAATTTAAATTCTTGCTTATTTTCGATGGAGTTGATGATAATTTTCCTAATGTTGCATACAAATACTAATAGCTTCAAGTTAATGCTACACTAGTGTGAATCTTGTGCTACCGATTTAGTTAACTCAATTACTCAATAGGTACGTATACAGCTAGTGGAATGAGATGGGATGTGTCACAAAAAGTTTTTTGAGCCCCAAACCATCCCCAAAATAGGACTCTCATAACGTAAAATCTAAACTGGAAGCCAATAATATATCCATGGATTTATGATGAATAATGAAAACCGTTGGGCATATAAGGTAGTCAGATACATATCTCCAATATCTCATTCACCTCTATGGGAAAATGCCAAACATATAGAGCACCGTACTTGAAAGAAGGATATCAATGACAAGACCTGTCTGCTCTTTTCATTCTTCACAGGCATGCATAGAATGAAATGAGATCAGAACTCCTGATTTAAAAAATAAAATAAAATAAGAAAACAACAGTAAAGAAAACAAAGGAAGAAAGAAAGGGCTCAACATATCCCGCAAAAGGCAGAGAGGCACATTGGATTTTAGCAACTAGGTACATCTTCAAGTCACTCATTCTAGCCTTGTTCTCACTATATGCTACATTCACTTTCGAGGGCTTTGGGGGGTCCCTTTTATGTCTAACCATTTTTTGATGTTTCAATGTTCTAAGCTCACATTCCTATCTGCTTCTTTTGTCTGTTTCCTCCTGACGTTTTTCTCTCCACCTCTCTCCTCATGTATGTTTATTTTGGCATAGACAAAGTACCTTTTGTCTCAGTTAAAGCATTCAAGTTTTTGGTTTGTCCATGGAATCTAGATCATATGAACAATCTTCTTGCTGTTTAAAATAATACTCGAAAAAATCATGATTCGTCGGTGTTTCAATTGATTACATCCCAGATGGAAGTGGCACTGGAAGGGTATCGAAAATTAGACAATTTAGTATTGTTTCCATGGAATTTTATATGTGTTTATCCATGTTTCCAATTCCTTAGTCTCAAACATTGTATCACAGGTGCAAGAAGAAAAGGACACTTCATTGGCTGTGAGATCCTGTGGTAGTCTTAAAATTTCAACTTTTTCCTCGGCCCTTTTTGGTATCTTAGATCGATGATTCTTCTTGTATAACAATACTTAACCCATCTTTGTAGAATCCAAAAATTCTAACAAAAATATATAGGAGATATATTTCATAAAATCAATGCATATGGGGAGACAATTTACACATAAAAATAGGTGTGGGCGAAGAGAAATAATATCAACAATAATCTATTAATCACATCGTAAGAATAAATCTCTCCATCCTTCACTTTTCTCAACTAAACACAATAATATAACTTCCTATTTATAGACTAGATGACCTGATAAACAAGTCTTACAACTATAAGAAATTTCCTAATAAGATACTAATTCTTAAACAATAAAACTACCATAACTTGATTCCAATATAATTACTAAAACCCTAACTTGACTAAAACACTACTAAATAATAATATAGAAATTTTTAATTTTGAGTCTTGATTTAATATGCCAACAATCTTGAGGTGTTGCACGTGAACATTTTCTTGTATACAAATTTATTCTTCGAAAAAATGAACTTTTGTTGACAATAAAGAAACATTTGGACTAATTCTACTGTGAACATTAAAACTTTTATTACACTCTAATTTGCATCTGAAACTTCAATTTTAGATATTTTGCACATTAATTTTTCAGATTTATAACACTTAAATCCAATGAATAATAGCATTAGTAAAACTATTGGAATAGAGGATTGTGCAAATCAATGACAAAATATGTTGAAAGTGGTCAAAAAAGAGTAAAGGGATCGAAGTTGGATATAAATGATACATTTTCATTGCCTTGCATGATCCTATATTGCAT